ATAATGCAGAACTAATTCTGTGCCAGTTCTTGACATAAGCCTTAAGATCTGACAGACTCTGGCTCTTGGGAGCCAGCTACTTCTTCTAAGAAGTGAGACCACTATGCTGTAAGGAAGCCCAAGGAACTACTGCAGAGGGCCATCTGGTTGAAAACCTCAGCTGATTTCCTAGAGGGTGGCTAGCACCAACTGCCAGTCCTGTGGAGGAGGCCATTTTGGACCTTAGCAGCACCAAGACAATTTCTCATGAAGCAGAAGAACCACCTTGTCAACCCGTAGCATTATGAAAAACAATTACCTGTTGTATAACAAGTAAAACACTGTCAAACTTTGATGGTAGTACCATAAATCCATGAAAATATTTCTAATATCAGTTTCTTTAGCATAAAGAAAGCTACCTCCTTACACAGGACATAAGCCTCACTTTGCTGTTCTTACAAAGCATAAAGTTGAGAAGGGCAGCATGAACTTTATCCATAAATAATATGCTTGTAAGAGAAGAAGTAGGGACAAGAATGCCTTGATTTGAATCTTATTTCTGCCAAGTTACTGGTTGTGCAACCTTGGGAAAGCTACTTAGCCTCACAGTGTCTCAATTAGCACATCTGTAAAATGGAGATAACAGTAGTACTCATTTTGTAAAATTTTCCTGAGTAGTATTTAAAAAAGAAAAAAACTCATTGCCATCAAGTCAATTCCAACTCCTGGCAACCTCCATCAGGTTTCCAAGGCTGCAAAATCTTTTTTTTTTTTGAACTGTGATTTGGGTGAAAGTTTACAGAGCAAATTCATTTTCCATATAGCAGTTCACATACACTTTGTCTCATGACATTGACTACAATTTACCCCAATACAACAGCTGACCTCCCACTTTCTCCTGATAGTTACCTCTTCCCTGTGTCCATCCCTCCATGCACTCCTGCCCCCTGAGCTGTCTCCCTGTGCATAAGCAGCCCTTCTTTCTCCCATGCTTTTTTTTCTCCAAGTACTCTATCTACCTTGGGTAAATGTTCATCTCATATGTCTGTCTTTTTTTTGGCTAGAAGCCAAAGGAGTGGGTTCAATTCCAGACCTGAAGGGCAGTTAGGGGCCATCTCAGTGGTTCCACCAGGCTCTATCAGGCCAGCAAAACTGGTCCCCACCAACTTTGTTTTTTTCTAAATGATTTTGACTTTTGTTCCACATTGTTCTCTCTCTCTATCCAGGATCTCCTACACAGATCCCCCTCCGAGCGGTTGACAGTGGTAGTCAAGCACTATCTAGTTCTTTTGCTCTCAGAGTCGTATAGGCTGCGGACTGCATGGTGTACCTGTTGCTTGGACTAATTATTTCCATGAATCTTTGGTTTTCTTCATTCTTCTTTGCTCTGGACAATGAGAGACCCATCTAGATGGCTGCTTGCAAGCTTTTAAGATCCCAGTCGCTACTCGCCAAAGTAGGAGGTGGAACAATGTTTTGTGTAGTATGTTATGACAATGTTTTGTGTAGTGTGTTATGCAAGGCTGTAAAATCTTTACAGAAGTAGATTGCCCCATCTTCCTTCCATGGAGTGGCTGGTGGGTCTGAACTGCTGACCTTCTGGTTAGTAGCCAAATGCATTATCCACTATACCACCAGAGCTCATTCCTGAGTAGTATATGTATATATTAACATATGTCAAGTATGCTAAGAACACTACCTTGCAGATAACAACATTAGTTGTTGCTGCTATTATTTTCATTATTATTGTAAGAAAGGAGTAACTCACTCAAACTCACTGCCATAGAGTCAGATCCGACTCATAGTGACCCCTCCTTGGGTTTCTGAAGCAGTACCACTACAGAAGTAGATTGCCCAATCTTCCTTCCGAGGAATAGCTGGTGGGTTTGAACCGCCAGTCTTCTGGTTAGCAGTCAAATGCCTTAGGCACTACGCCACCAATAAATAAAAGGAAATTCTATTTTTTCCGGGAATAGGGATAAGAGAAAGAGGACAGATAGGATAAGAAAAGCTTCACAGAGGTGGCTCCAAGTAAACTGGAGGTAGGTAGGGGTATATTTGAGTGATGAAAAACATACAGCATCTGAGAAACTGATGAGAGATAAAGTCAGAGAAGTAAAAAGAGATTGCAACATGGATCATCTCACTCGCAAAGCCTCTGCTCAGGCCAAGAAGTGTGAATTCTGCATGGCCAGAAGGAAGACACTGAGAAACTTCCCCAAGGGGTTATGTGATTACCTCTGAACTTTGCAGTGATATAGAGGATGGCCAGGGTAGAGAGGTTCTGGAAGTAAGGAGGTCACTTACAAGGTAATCTCAGATGTCATGTAACAGTTGATCAGAGTAGATGCTAGACAGTTACAGTGGAGATAGAGAAGGATATGGATTGAGAGTGAGTTAGAAAGTAAAAGGAGAAAGATTTGATAACGAAAGGCATGTGGCAGGGGTCAGTGACAGGAAGAGTACAGAAAATATACAGATTTCAGACTTGAGTGTTGGAAGGTAGATGAATTTAGATGGTTATGTGATCAATAAATACGGATATAAAACACTTAAACAACACTGTAAATTACTCTGATCTACTTGACATTTGTAGAACATCCTATCCACAAAAAACAGAATAGATATTATTTTCAAGTGTACACAGAGCATTTATCAAGATAGGCCATATTCCATAAAATTCATCTTAGTAAATGTAAAATGATTCAAGTCATATGAACTGTGGTCATGATAATGGAATTAAATTAGACATTATAAATAGAAATATATGTGGAACACTCCCATGTACTTGGAAACTACATCAAAATAAACCCATAAATCAAATTAAAAAAGAGATGAGAAAGTATTTTGGACTAAGTGAAAATGAAACTACCGCATACCAAAATGTCGAGGAGGTAGCAAAAGTAACACTTAGAGGAAAATATATAGCACTAAATATATTAGGAAAGTAAGTAAGAAATGTTCTCAAATCAATCAACAAACACTCTATCTTAAGACACTAGAAGAAAAGGAGCAAATTAAACCCCAAGTAAGAAGTAATAAATATCAGAGCAGAAATGAATGTAATAAAAAATGAAAAACAATGGAGAGAATTGATGACACCAATCTCTGGTTCTATGGGACTATCTATCTTTAGATGCCAAGCCACATGAACATCACCCAGGAGCAGAAACAAGGAGCTCGAAAGAAACAAGGAGCTTCCTCCAGAGCCTACAAAGAAGGAAGGCCTTATTCTAGAGCTGGCACCCTGACTTCAGACCTCTAACCTCCTCACACTGAGAAAATACATTTCTGTTGTTAAAGCTACCTGCTTGTGATATTTTCATTATAGCAGCATTAGAGACTAGTTCCAGAAAAGGGCCATCACTATAAATTCTACAAATATCAAAAAGAAAGAACTACTGATACAGAAACATGAATGACCAGATAATTATGTTGAGTGAAGAAACTCACACAAACAAGAATACACATGATATTATGTACCACATAAAATTATTAAAAATGTAAACTCATCTAAAGTGACGGAAAGCAGAACAGAAATTGCCTATGGATTCAGGAGTATCAGATAGAGGTGGGAGGGAAGGATTCCCAAAGGGCTCACTAAAACTTCGAATATTGATGGATATGTTTATTATCTTGATAATCAAATGCACACTTATTGTGTTAAAAATTTAACTATGCGTTAGATTTAGGGGGTGGAGGTCCAGAGGTAGGGAGCAAGAACCAAGGGACAGAGAGACTTAAGAATGATTAGTATAAACAGACAAGATAATTAATACAACCAGATAAAAGGTAGAGTTATTCGTGGTTTAAGATGAGAGGAACCTGAGCTTATTTATATGCGAGGAAAAGGAACCAGCAGAGAGAATGAAGTTGAAATTTTAGGAGTCAAAGCCAACTTATGAAATATAGGATGAAAAATCCAAGAACGAAAATGAGTCTTGAGGAACTTTATGGGTGAAAATACAGATATATTTTGTGGAGTGGAAGATTCAGTAACAGACTGAAAAGTTAGTGAGATTTGAGTTTGTTATTTTCTCTCTTCCTTTTCTGGAAAGATGAAACATGAGAGGAGTAGGATAATTAAGAAGAGTGGTAGAACTTTGGAATAGTCACTGCTAAAGAAATTGAAATGATGTTTAGAGATGAATGTGTGATTTAAGTACATTCGTCTGTAACAAGATGATAGATAATGAAATAGTTTTAATCAAACAAATAGCTGTCATGTAGACATATGCAAATGTCATTGAGTGGTCCTTTAAAGTTTTATCTCTTTACCTACAGACAAATTTCACTCATGCTAATCTTTCTGGTGATCCCTTTTCCCCTTTCCCTCAATGCACTATACATTTAAAAGAAATCCTTTAACTCGATGGAGAATATTTCTAACACACACATGAAAATACAGAATAACTTAATGAACCAGTATCTTACCATTCAGCTTTATCAAATCTTAATATGATAACATATTTACCTCAGTTAGAAAATTCCTTCAACCAAATACAGGCTTATTGGTCAGAAGAGATTTCAACACCAGCAAACATCAACATACTCAATTATTTTTCACATTTCATATATTTCATGAATAATGCCCACAGCATCTCTGAGATCTTTAGGTATTAGTGTGGGTAAGCACAAATCAAATATGGCAAGAAACGGCCACTGGTAAGCTAATTAGGTAGCTCCCCTGAAGTGAAATGTTAATGTATGAAAGCCATGCAAATTAGATCATACCCACAGGCCCTGGGTATGGAAAAAAATGCCCTGGCAAAGTATGAATTTTTAACAAAAATAATAATTAAGACTCACAGCACTGAAATTATTTTTCTTTAGTATTCTAACATTCATTGCCATTTTGGCATTGGTAAATATAGGGAAGGCTAAGATAAAATAATTTTGCCCCAAATCACGTATAATCTCTGAAGCTGAAACATGTAATTTGTTTCTATCGACAAGAACTTTATTCTCTAAGCAGTAATAAATCATCCATTAAGTAGAAAAATTTGTAATCTCAATAGTACCTGCCAAAACAGACTGTGTGCATCTCCTCTCAGAAGTTCAACTGTGTCCCCTGCCTGGATGTGTAATGGGGGTCCTTCATGAAGAGCAGGGGCTGGTGTTCCATTGTAGTTCCTAATCACCTGCATCTTGGGTAAGCCTGAAAATAAGCAAAACACATTTTAGCATTGAGAAACTACTGATGTGTGATGTCCAAATGCACTTAACAAAACAAAACAAAACAAAAACAGAGCTATTACTAATGTTACAAAGATTTAATAACACCTGGTCCAAGTAAACATTTGAAGTAACTACACTGGAATGCTTTTCAACTTTCTCATTATTTGAGATGGTAAAGGAGTAAGATGCATATTTATCCCTGGATCCCTTACATACTTTTCTTCTCCTTCACCATCATTCTCTTTCAGTTGAAAACATATTTTTTTCAGCTGATAACTGCTCCATAAAAAACACATCACGTACAGTTTAATGGAAAAGAATAAATATTTTCATCAACTCTATCCTTTCTGCCTATTACTTTCCTCTCGGGCATTGGCCGATTTCATCACTAAGGAGGCTCACCCTTTCTGTGTATGTATCACATTGCCCAGTATAAGGCTCATATCTTAAGGTTATCTTTGTAATTCAAAAGCAAAAAAGTGATGGATGTGCCACTGCAAAACTTAAGACATTTATATGGAGAAACTCTTCAGGCTCAAATTTAGGCTTGCAAAACAGACCCAATAAAGGGTACATGTCTAAGCCAACAGCATACATAGTACTTAAATAAACATATAAAAATAAACAGGTCCAATCCCTTTTCTTCTTATTTCTTTGAAAGTGCAATGAAGGCCTCAATTCAATATTTGACCAGCTGCTTCAATTGCACAAGGGCCTAATTGTGCTAATATTGGTTACAAGAGGACAAACTCACAATCACCCTTTCATTTAGAGGTGAAAATGCTCTCTCCTAAAACAGATCACTCATAAACATGATTATTTGTTATATATTCAGGAGTCGGAGGAAGGTTGGGCAATCTACTTCCATAGTGATACTGCCTCGGAAACCCAGACTATGAGTCTGATCCAACTTGATGGCAGTGGGTTGTTATACTTCAAGACTTTTTATTATAATGATCAGCCATGGTAAAACTGTAACTGCCTGAAAATGCTTCACTAAACCCAAAGAGGGGTTGCTATGAGTCGGGTCCAACTCAATGGCATATAACAACAATAACAACAACAAACATTTAAAGATGAATGATTGTCATTAGGTTCTAGATGTCCAAGTTATCTAGAAAAGGCTTCAATTCCAGATGAAATGATTCAGCAAACAGTTTAACAAAATCCTCACAATACTTTTCAGCCACCACCCCAGAAGAGGGAAAACATTCTAGCAAATAAAGGTTTCTATAAATCAAACAGAACTGAAACATTTTTTAGTCAACACTTTTATCAATCTAGAAAATCAGAAGGAAGAAAGCTATGATGCCCTTCACCCCAATTTGGCTGCTGAGGCATGTTATGAGTTGCCACATCTCCCCACTGCTTCAGTTCTTGTGCCCCAGAACCCCTGGAGGGATGACTTTAATCCCATGTCTTTCATGAAACAGTTCCCCTACCAGATGTTTATAAGGTAGTGCCCTAACACAAACAGCAGACTTTATCATCCCTCCCCCAAAACAATACTCCACAATAGAACTCTCCATATTGTCTATCAGACTTGCTTTCCACACACTGTATATAAATTCCTTGAACATTCGTTGTTGTTCTTGGGTACGGTCAAGTTGAATTTGGACACATTTCAACCCCCTGTAACAGAGCACAACTGCGGCATAGGGTTTTCTAGGCTGTAGGTTCCTATAGGTTTATAGGACCAGATCATTAGGTCTGTCTTCCTTGGAGCTGCCAGTTGGGTTCACATTGACAATCTTTTGGTAAGCATCTGAGCACTTAACTGTTGTGGCACCAGGGCTGCTTGCCTAGAGTATAAAATCCCCCAAAAAACCAAACCCATTGCCATGAAGTCATTTCTGACTCACAGCACCCTACAGGACAGAGTAGAACTGCCCCATAGGCTTTCCAAGGCTGTGATACTGCCTCAGAAACCCAAGGAGGGGTCGCTATGAATTGGGCCCAACTCCATAGCACATAACAACATAACAACAATCTTTATAGAAGCTGTCACATTTTTCTCCCATGGAGCAGCTGGTGGATTCTAACTACTGACCTTCTAGTTAGCAGCTGAAAGCTTAACCATTGTGACACTAGGGCTCCTTGCCTTGAGTATAGAGAGTACTCATTTTACACATTTTATCAATTTGCTGCTGTTAATTTATAATAGAACCTAAGAATCCAATATACACTATTGTATTTTTATACAAATAGCATGCATGTATTATGTTTTTGCAAACCATGCAACTCCCTCGTACATCAGTTTCCTATGTGTACTATGTGTGTTATATGTGTGTGTGTTACTTATGTGTGTGTGTTACATGCAAAAAATACAGTACTGATTTAGAAATATGTTGAGGAGGGTACATGTAGTAGTTAAGTTGTATGTCAACTTGGCTGGGCCTGGTTTTGAGTGGCTAGGAAGCTGGATGTAGTGATTCTCCATGATGAGATTGGAAATCAACTCCATGGTGAAATCTACAGGAGAGCTAAGTAGCTGCTTTAGGGATGTAGTCTGCTTCCAAAATATAAGGGGAAGTTTTGAGAAAGGTATCTCAGTTTTTTGGCATGCTTAGACCCTGTATGTAGCTGAGTCTTCATTCAGCAGCCTGCCATACTTCCTGCCGATCTTTGAACTGTCTCTGGACTTGAACTAGTGGCCTGGGATGTTGTTTGGTAATCTTGGGACTGTGCCATTTTATTTGTTAACCTTGGGTTTGTCAGCCTCAGCAGCTAATAGCTGCTTAAGAGAAGCCGTTGGCTTCAGTGGGCTTGGAGCAAGAAGTAGAGCTGAAGCCCAAGGTTGAGGGGCTTTCACCCAGACCCTAGAGGTGGCACTTGAACTTGGACTTCTAACGTCCAAAACTGTAGGAGAATAAATTCCTGTTTGTTAAAGATATCCATTTGTGTATTTCTGTTAAAGTGGAACTTTGTTATGTTATGTTATGTTATGTTATGTTATGTTATGTTATGTTATGTCATGTTATGTCATGTAATGTTATGTTATGTGCCATCGAGTTGGCCCCGACTCATAGTGACCCCTCCTTGGGTTGCTGAGGCAGTTGTTGTTGTTGTTATGTGCCGTCGAGTCAGCCCTGACTCATAGCGACCCCTCCTTGGGTTTCCGAGGCAGTATCACTACGGAAGTAGGATTGCCCAACCTTCCTTCCGAGGAGTGGCTGATGGGTTTGAACCGCCAGCCTTCTGGTTAGCAGTCAAGTGCTTTAGCCACTATGCTACCAGAGCTCCTGCTGAGGTAGTATCATTACAGAAGTAGATTGCCCAACCTTCCTTCCGAAGAGTGGCAGGTGGGTTTGAACTGCCAGCCTTCTGGTTAGCAGTCAAGTCCTTAGGCACTACGCCACCAGAGCTCCTAAAGTGGAACTAGGGAACCAAAACAGTACAATATAAAGCATATATATATATTTTTAAAATGGAGTATGGTTTGTACTTTACCTAAATGATGATTATTCCATGTTTGGGGGTGAGATTTGGGGTTAGTCTCAGTTTAGTTGAGCATTTCTAGGGCAAGGAAAGCATCTCATTTAGTAGGTCCCCTGGGTAATTTTGCTTTTATGCCAGTTTATAAATAGAATCTGAAGGAGTCTTTAAACCTGAAATAGCTGATGTGGCCTCAAATACTAGGGCAGTCAAGTGATCAAGAGGGCTCTAGTCCTCACTAAAGTTATGTCTGCTGCTACCACCACCAGGATAAAAAGGAACAGAGCCATGTGACAAATGTTGGCAACAGCAGTTCTTTTATTGCCAGCATGCCCACGTTAGTCATTCTCAAGAAGAAACAATTGAAAAATTCATAGAGTGTTTAGAAAAGAAATTTAACTTTGATGACATTCTGCCACTCAAATATATATGAGGGATTAAAATACAGAAATGAGCAGGCAATATAAGAAGGCAGCCAGGTGTCAGGCAGGGAATAAGGTCGCCTCATATATCTTTATGGATGGATTGCATATGGCCCATAATACATGGTCCAATAAAATCATAATATTTAAAATGGAAAACATTACATATTGATATACTCTAGTCAAGAAAGAAGACTTAGGTATCCTGTGAAGTAGGAACAATGGACTTTGGTTTTACCCCAAACCCGTTGCTATGGAGTTAACTCTGACCCACGGTAACTCCATGTGTGTCAGAGTAGAACTGGGCTCCATGGAGTTTTCAATGGCTTATTTTTTGGCCATCTTTCAAGATGCCTCTGGGTGGACTTGAACCTCCAACCTTTCAGTTAGAAGCTAAGTGTGATGACCATTTGCACTACCCAGAAACTGCTTTGTAAAAATTATTTCTAATTTTTTTTTCCATTTACTCTACCTTTTCTTGCTATTATTATTTTCCTGGTTATGAACTACATTTAGAAAACTGATCTAAAAGCACACTAGCAGCATAAGGTATGTCGCTGACTTCATTTCAGAAACAAATATATGTGACCCTTGCTAACAATGATTGTTGAGCTCAGGTTATAGCCAAAAAGTCATTGCCACCAGCCTGAAGTCATCCATAAAGAACTTGTAAAGTGCAGTGTTTGACTCATTTTCTTTTTTCTGGGATGAGTTTTGAGGTTTAATATAAAGGAATTTATATTTTTCTAGTCTTTTGCTGGGATAATTTTTGGCCACTTATTTCTGATTGGCCAGCACTCCCCATCTCAGCACTGTCTTCCATCAGCACTCCAGGGCTATGGAGATCAAAGGGCAAAAGGAAAGATGGAGGGGGACAGAGACATGATGAGCTTTGACACTTTACACCTTGCCTCTGCAGCTTTCATACAGCAGGTGTTCTATAATACTGACGGAAGGAGCTGTTGCTTTCCAAAAGCCCGCTACATATTTCTTCTTTTACAAAAAAGGCACAGTAACGTTGCTAAGAAGGTGAACACAAGCACAGTAACTGATGGATCAAAATGCAAATAAAATAACAGAAGAGTGACTGAGTTAAACTTCAAGTCAGCACTCAATCATCAAT